AGTACTGAACATCGCCAACTGTGTATATATAAAAACAATAGTGCTGTTTTGACTGTGAATTACAGTAAGCACAGGATTAAAACCCGTTATTCCTTTTATTTACATTGCTGAAACAGCTCAACGATCAAGAATGATATATGTCGAAGTACAGCTACAGTATACTGTTATCACACGCCAAGACTCCTCGGTGCGTGCGGTACAACTTGAATATCTAGGACGATATATGCACCAGACTAAATTATATCATATATTGCAGTAAACATTATAAATCTTATAAAGACCTTTCAATGTATTAATGTCCAGGCATTATTTGAAGAATAATCCAACTTAAAATCCAGCTTCTTTCGACTTGTATAATGCCGCTGTGAGTCATCAATATTTAAATCAACTTTAAGTCTTTAATCTTTATCGTATATACCCCTATACTGTGTCGTAACTGTAATTGAAATTTTAGAAGTTTCACCAAACGATACTTCGTAACTGTAAGCAAACAACCTATCTATCAGTATCAATAGAAACTTTAAAAGGCTTAATAAAACTCATTAAGTAATTCTATGAGCGAGACTTGGTGCGCATATACAGTTTATGAATTATGTATATATAAATATATACCCTGATAAAACGTATAGGGACACTTCGTACCAGATATAATAACAAATACTTTGCTAAATCTTTTCGGATATCATTCCTTTGCATTCAGGGTGGGAGGGTGAATGGCGATAGCTATAGTTATTATAGGAGATTCTGTGCAATATTTTGGCTCAACAAACAGGTAGTCGTGAAGACAAAAAAGTGCACTGTCGAGTGTCGATTCCAAACAATTTTGTCAGTCGCTTTTGATACCTCTATTTTACAAAATTTATACCGTTTCCTTTCTATATGACAACAATTCAATGGCATATTATAAGAATATTGTAAATATCTGAACCAGAGGCAGAGCCAGGACAGAAACGTACGTATGAAATCATTGAAATGAAAATATTGCGCCCGAACCCCGAGAGAATATTAAAAACGCAAATATTTCAAACCATACGGTCATACGTTTTCGTTGCTTGATTTGCAGACTTGTCTGTTAGTACAAGAATCTGCATTTTACCATGTTTGTATAATTTAAAACGGCAAACAGAAACCAATTTAGCAAGAATTTTGAAGAATATATGATTCTCAAAGATTATTGCCCGGCAGCACGGCCACTCCTTGCAATCGAAGTGTGAAGTGCGGAAGTGGAAACATGTAATATGAGACCTTTCCATCCCCCTCTGAGGCTATCAATTTTCTATGGGTCACGTGACCAGCGTCCACCAGGGTCTTTGCTTCCCAAGAGCAAATACCCTGGGAACGAGGTTGATTTGTAGTTTGATAAAATAAAATATCTATACTCCCACGAAAATTGGACTATCATCGTGACCATAGAGATTATAAATAACACTAGAGGAGGCATCGAGTTTAAAAATTGGGAACGCAGCTAATGGGGGGCAAATTCAAGTCCCGGATATAAAATCGTGCTCTCATTGGCTGATTTGAAACTCGTCACCAATGGGAACACAAATACACATCCGGTACTTGAATTTGCCCCCCAATAGTCGCGTTCCCTTTTTTTAACTGAATTAAGATTACAATGCTTCCTCTAGTGTTATTTATAATCTCTATGATCGTGACATCGAATGACGTCATGGCAAATGACGTCATCACGTTTTGCGTCATCGATGACGTCATAGATTTTTGACTAACGTGCGAAAAATCCTAGATCCGCCCCTGATGCCATTTTATGTAAATTGTTGTTTATTTATGTTGGTAATTATATATTTACTTAATATACTTTCTTTGAGGACCTTATGAAAATCATCTTTGATGATAAGGCCTCCTCATAAAAGATTGTTTAGAAATTAAAAATATAAAATAAAATAAATTAAAGATACAAGTGAATGTGAACAGGTTTTGTGACTGCATGTGACAATAAAATTAAAGAATATATTCTAAAGAACGAGTCATGCACCGATCACTTCTCTTCAAACAGCCAATCACTGCAGACCATGTTTATTTTAAGTTGGTATTTAGTATTTATAAGTGCTCGACAGTTAAGGCCTAAGGGTAATATTGTTGAGGGAGAAAAACCGGACAACCGACGAGGTACAGAAGAGAACCAACGACAACTCTACTTATACATGAGTTTGAATGAACAGGGCAGGTAACCAAAGTATAAATACCCAACTTTGACATGTAAAGCAGGCTTAACTTAGCGTTAAGAGTGCACTAACGTATCACTTGTAATATGATATAAATTTCGGCAAATGACTATAGCCTGCCAATAACAGCCGCCCGATTGTCTCGTTTTTCGACCAAACGGGCGTCTGCGTAATAAGCCAAACAATTGGATTTCTTGCAGCTAGGGTTCAAGACATACGCAAATTACTTGCTATAAAAACTGGACTTGGTTGAATGGAAAGAACTTATTCGTAACACATTTTGAAATATCAATAGAAACAAGGCGAAAAGAGGAAACAAAACAACAAAATCTGTCTTCTTCAAGACTTTCTTTTTGTTATATCTATACGTCCATATTATTTGTGTAGTTTACGTTGGGTTAATATGTATGTGTGTAAACAGAAAAACGTTCACTTACCTCTTTTCCAATTCCCAGTGTGATGCTGTTCTTTGCTTTCAGGTTCAACTTTCCAGAATCAATGAAAACATTTTCGTTTCCTCGAATTGTCACAGTTCCTGCAGGTTCGATTCTCAAGTCTTTACCGTCGTCACTAGTGATCTGAGAAAATAGAACATATACAGTGCCAGTGAGCTTACTAACAGAATTGAAAAATAAATAGAGACGACCAGAAAATATTTCTATAAACATCCATTTAATTAATGTCCTGTATATCATTAAAACTATATGTCGGATTATCACTTTTATTAGTGACGGAAAAATCAATAAAAACTCTAAAATGGATATGTGATTTTACTGCATGTCTATACCAATGTGCATGATATGTGTTTTGTTATTGTATACAAAACCTACCCTGTGTGAAACAACGTAGGTTGTGTCTAAATCGACAGCTTTAGCAGGGACATCCCAGACAACTTCACGCTCTGCTATATGAAGTACTGTCTTGTCGATTTCAGATGAAACTATACGTACACCGTTCTTTGCTTTCAGTAGAGTGTGATCAGGTCCGATGTAAGCTACAGAGAAAAACGAAATGAAAATGAAATGAAAAATAGAAGGAACTGTTTCAAGTAATGTAAGATCATAATGAATGTAACCAGCAGATAAAAAAAAACATAAAATAATGTCCAATGTAATTTAGCTGCAGATTAAATACAAGAAATAAAAGACCGGTTTACACAACAAACGTGTTGGGCACCCCTGAAAATGGGCACCGTGCTATCTTTAAAACAGGGAACGGGGAATCGGGCCCTACCCGTAAGTACAATCGCCACGTCGACAACCCTCCTCCCGTCCCATCTTAGGTCAATTATATTTATAACACTAAAACTTGTGTAAGGATATATAGTGGTGGTGCATGGATCCACAATACAACAGCCATTCTAAGAAGCATGTTCAATATTCAATTGTTAAATTTTGCTTTGCAATCAATATGTGTATAGTTAACGTTATATTTTGCCTTTATATACCCCCTCTTCTGTGAGCGACTTTTCGCATATATTTTAACAACTTTTTCACAATTTTATTATTTTCGTTGCACAATCTGTATAAGCCTAGCTGCCTAGCTAGGGAATTGCTCGGAACCGCGGACATCCGGAAATTTTGATTTCATTTGTTTTTATCAATTCTTCATCGATTCTTTTTTATCATCTCATTCTTAAGAGCTTCTGAAATGATATAATAATTTATTTTGAAGATTTTCGTTTGCTTATGTTGTTTCTGAGATATTTCAGTTTGTTTGGTATGCAAATATCCGGAATTTACGTCACAAATGCATAATGATTTAAACTAAAAGCTTGTGTATATCGTATACACTATCGAGTTTAATTCATTAAAATGAAGTTTGGAGTTGTGGGAGGATTACATACCTAGGTAAAACACATTTAGCCTTTTTATTTACCTTACATTCTTTGTCTTTGATCAGTCATTATTCATATGTGACGTAAATTTCCGGACATTTGCATATCAATAAAACTGAAATAACTCAGAGACAAAGTGTGCAAACGAAAATCTTCAAAATACGTTACAATACCATTTCAGAAGTTCTTAAAAATGAGATGATAAAAAGAATTGCGGTTAGGTGCACTTTATAATTATGAAATCGAAATTTCCGGATGCCCGGTTCCTGGCAATCCTATACTCCTAGGCAGCTAGGCTTCTACAGATTTTGCAATAAAAACAATAAAATTGGGAAAAAGTTGTTAAAATATATGTGAAAAGTCGCTCACAAAAGAGAGGGTATATAATTGCTAAATATACAACGTTAACTATACACATTGATTGCAAAGCAAAATTTAACAATTGAATATTGAACATGCTTCTTAGAACGGCTGTTGTATTGTGGATCCATGCACCACCATTATCCTTAGACAAGTTTTAGTGTTATAAATATAATTAGCCTAAGATGGGAAAGGAGGAGGGTTGTCGGCGTGGCGATTGTACTTACGGGTAGGGCCGGATTCCCCGATTCCCCGTTTTAAAGATAGCCCTCGTTTACACGACAACTTTTTGTAGACACACTTTTATGACAAGCACCGTGCCCATCGGAAAACGGCACTTCTACTTTCCGTTTACGACGGTATATTTTGAAGATGTCGGACAGAAATAGAATTATATATTTATATTTATTGAAACGAAGAAGAGCATTATATCAGCCGAAAATCGAGGGGAAAAACAATTCGATACTAGAAAAATACGTTAAAAGACGAAAGGAGTTGTTTTTCGCGTAAATGTTGTGCTATCTTGTATTCACCCGCCACGAATTCGGGAGGTATGTACGCATCGAAGAACAGCCATTTGCTACGACCTATATATAGTCATTGCTCTATTCAGCGAGACAGCGACGAGCAGTGGTATCAAAATTTCCGATTAACTAGTCTGCAACATTCACATCCTGTGTTATCTAAATTTGTTTTTTGACTTTGGTTTTTTATTTTTGGCAAGTTGTAGTTTTTCGCCGTTTACTGTCATGTTGGAAAGAGGACAACTTGTTTTGCGGGTACTCGATGTCGAATACATTTTTTATTTTTTTCGAAATTAAGGCACGGCACCGCTTGCTAGACGTGCCGAGACTACCTCGTGAGAAAGTCTCGGCACGTTTAATTTTTCGGCACCGGTGCCGATTTTTGTCATGTTTACACGTCAAAAGGCAGAGGTGCCGTGCCTAAAATTTTAGGCACGGCCACGGGTGCCCATTTTTAGGGGTGCCGTGCCCAAAACACTGGTCGTGTAAACCGGCCAAAAGATACGAGTTTATTAAATAAAGAATACAACCTACACTGGAACCCTAGTCCCTACGTTTAAGTTATTTTCAGTTCCAAACGCGTAACTCGTAATATATTAATTACTAGACAGTAGTAATTTACGAAACTAATGAATGCATTTGTCGAAATATTCTAGGACAATGTAATATAAATTTAAGGCATACAAAAATCAGGTAAAGCCAAAGGTGGCAAGTGCATTTGCTGCTTCACAGGGAACAGAGTTTATACAATAAGCATGACTCCATGCACTTTCTTTCATACAACAAACTCGATATGGAAGTATTCTAATTCAGAACATACCAGAGCTTCCATTAGTTCCAGGTACAACGTGAACAAACTTCGCCTGTAATATAAAATACAGTATTTTAAAGAAACTATTGAGGTTTGCTTCCGGCTGAAGATTAAGAAAATGTCCATGCAGTATATATGGTAGAAGGATGTAAATTTTAGTGTAAATTTTATGCCTGTATTTTACAGATCTAATCAGGAGCAGCTGCGAAAAATGCAACCAGCATAGGACAACTTTTCTGAAATACTGTATATCTCATATAATGTATGTGGAAATAAGCTTTAACACAAAAACGAGGCCTCGTTTTCGTGTTAATGCTTATTTCCATATTTATTGGGCAAAATAAAGAATTCTTTTTCATGCATGTGTTGAAGAAGGATGTTCTGCTTCTCTGTGCATAGCCCATGAGAAAAAAACTTGAAATCCTTTCCATTTAAGGTGGTCCTATGTTGAAAACAGTGTAGTTGTGACATAATTATCGAAAGGGTGTATTTCAGAGAGTAGAGTCGGTAAGTAAAATTATTTCTTTACTTACCCCAGCGTTATTTCCTCTGATATCCAAGCTACGATCCTGAAAAGTTCCAATTTCACCAGTCTTTAATACAACCTTTTGTAAATCTCCTCCGTGCATCCAACGTACCAAGCCAGATTTAAATAAAGACAAAGATTCCATACCAGATTTATCAATACGTAGAACACTCAGCATAATACATAACATCTGTAAAGAAACAAACATTAAAAGGGAAAAGAAATATTAAAAAGTAAGCAAATGAACTTTTACCAATGACGTTGTGGTGTTTTATTACCATCAATATAGCCTACATTAGGGTGTCATGGGTGAAATGGTTCCCTTGCCATTTGAATTTATGAATATAACACTATACAGTAATGACAGTGTAAGCAAAAATATTCAAGCGTATAAATTATTATACATGCGAATAAACATTAGCCAATTTTGATTAGGTCTACATGTACAGTATATATATGGCGAGATATCACGACTTTTTAAAATAATCAAATAGCGTATATAATCTATAGATTTGTCTCAATTTCAATCAAATAGATTACGTCAACTTGGCTATAGAGCCTCGTTTTCATGAAAGAGACGTTGGGCTTTTCGTGACGCTGGGATTCACAAGGCTCTGTATAGCCACTTTGTACTTCCGTGTATTGAATAGTTTTTAAAATGCATACATTAAAATCTTTATATATATTAATTAGAAATGAAATTGTTGAACAGGCAAGTTTGCAATTCAATACATTTTAGTATATCGATAAAGTATCTTACCACAAGATTAATGAAACAGAGAATACCCAGTAGATATAAAAATGCGTAGTAAATATATCTTTTTCTTCCTCGGATACCAGTTCTGTGTAGATTACGTTCATGGATCGGAATTCTTCCAGCTTTAAAATTACTTTCATGTTCTCTTTCTATCGCTTTCTTTTCTTTCAATTTCTGCCACATTCCTTTTCGCTGCCGGCTAGAGTTATCATTTGACTGAAACATAAAATATACATAATTACGTTCACGTGATCGATATCTTCACTAGTGAAGTCTGAAGATATGGACAATATCTCACTGACAGTGAGTGTATTTTTCAGTATCCCACTCTCTACTATATAATAAACATAATTGCGTTTTGGCATTTGAACAGTCACAAGGTTGAACCCATTGAGCAATGAGCACCAGTACGTGGCAGACTGGCAGTGCTCTCCCGTTGACGAGTAAAATCGTCTGGCGTTAAACAATTTCAATAGTTAATACATACGTCATAAATTACCGTATTTATATTTATTCACATAAATATATGTATTTTAATTAAAGAGTAAAGAGCAATTTTCAATCTTAGTCTAATACTCTAGTGGGAAATGACATAGAAAACGAAGGACTTGTTCTCACTATAGTAATACGTGCTGGTTTTCAAAACCTGTCTGGCTCCTTCAACAGCTGGTGCACTTACAGTGGGATTTAAGACCATTTAAGTATTTAACTACAGCATAACTATTCATGCATGATTGCAGAGTGCATGCAACAACAATAACTCGAAAGGGGACGAACTTTTTAAATCGACGTGCTTCCACAAGATCTTTAACCTGATAAAAAGGCAGTGCATTATGGCGCGCCAATTGCCGGCACACTTGGCTCGCGCTAATTCAATAAAAATCACAATGCCGTGGTGGCCTGGAACACAAGTTGATGTGTTAATTCACACCTGGTGTGTTAATCAACGGCAACTGAACAACCTGTACTGTATGTTTGCTAAACCTGCCTTAATCTCCCAGGGTTACATGTCATGATGTGGCAAGATTTTAATGTCTTTGATGCCTTGTATGCAATCTTTTCTGAAAATGCGACCCTATGAACACAGTCATATACAGTACAGGTTCTACACTGTATTTTTAAGATTCCCAAATTTCACATGCTTGAAAACAACCTCAATTTTTTTCCTCCTTTCTTTTCTTCAGAGAAATGAACATATGACGTTTCTCATGGACAAAATCGATATGTGAGGCTTCCCTTATAGTGGGACCATAGTCATGTTTATGCAGACTTGTTGTGCACAGTGATGACAATTTTTGCCATAATGAAGCAATCATCCAATAGCATCACCTTGCCAAAACTTGAAATACCAACCCATTGAGTGCCACTCCTGAGTAAAACCATTTAGCATTAGCCAGAGTGAACTAATCAAGTTGGGTGCAATGCAACTTAATGGTTTAACTATTATAGACACATGGGCAGATAGTCTAGCTTATAAACCCATTGAGTGCCAGCATTCACCCCTTCATGAGTAAAATCATCTGGTCTTAGACAGAGTATTAAAACTAATAAAGCATTATGGATTAAATATTATAGGCTGGGGCAGTTCTTGAAAAATACTGAAACCAAAAACCGTCAAGAAAAAACCCAAAAACCGGTTTTTAATCTATAAATAACACACAGACATAAAACCGTGTAGCATGTGTTTTTATTACAGTATGTGAAGAATTTTGGTTTTAGATGCTCAATATCAAAAGCTTACAAAGGTATAAAAATACAAGTAAGAAGACAATGCTAAAAGAATGTATTCACAAGTTTTCAGCTAGGATTAGCTGAAACATTAGCATTTTAATCTTGTTTTTTTTTTCCAGTTCTTTGTCTTTTTCCGGGGTTTTTTCCGTACTTGGACTTTGGCAAAACCGGATTTTAAAAAAACCCCAGTATTTTCCGGCATACCGAAAAACCACCTCAGCCTAGATTAATAGGAAAATTTCAAAAGGTTTGTGTAGACAATGTTTGTGCAGACATTATGTTTCAAGCCAATGTCTTGATTGCCTATAGTGGGACATTATCATTCAAGGATAGACATTCTCCCTCTGTAAATAGTTAACATTATAATCAACATTTCGACTAGGTTTCAGTCATCATCAGGAATTCTGGATTCCTGATGATTGAAACCTAGTCAAAAAGTTGTTTAAAATGTTAACTATTTTCGGAGTGTCTATTGTTTTGTTCTTTTTACAGTCAAACTGGATGTTCTCTTGCAAGCAATATTGCAATATATTGTCCCACAATATTGCAATTTTGATAGGGAGATTGCTCTGAGGAATTTGCAAGTGACGAGAACAAATTGCAAGAATTAGTTGAAACTCACAAAAGATTTGTAAACAAAGCTTTCTGATTGGACTATTAGTAAAAAGGCCGGAGGCCAATCAAATGGTCTGAGCAGGGGCGAAACTTGAGGGGGGGTATGGGGGGGTGTTACACCCCCCCCAAAATACGAATCATCCCGATTGGCAGGGCAATCAAAGGTCTCTTATAAATAAATAAATGATAGCACATATGCATACCGGGCGGGGGCAATATTCGATCAACAGTCGGGCAATTTTGGTTTGAAAAAAAAAAAAATGGGACAAATTCAGTCAATTTTATCTAAAATTAAGTGAATTTTTTCGCAAATTGTGTAATTTTTTGAAAATTTATGTTATGTTCCGAAAAATATAGGTTGTCCGGAAAATTTTTTTGACCCCTAAAATGGTACACAGACCGAAATTTTTTTGGCGACGGGCGTCGCCAAAAAAATGGCAGGGCATCACTGGTTTTGGCAGGGCAATCACTGGTTTTGGCAGGGCAATTCTGCCAGACACGCCCCTAATATTAAAAGGGGCTAGTTTCGCCCCTGGGTCTGAGCAACTGGATTGCTGCTTCCCTTTTTCTTATAGTCCAATCACAGGCTTTGTTTACAAATCTTTTGTGAATTTCAACTTGCAATTTGTTTGTGTCGTTTGCAAATTCAGTTGCTCACTAGAGCATTTTCCCTATCAAAATTGCAATATTGTGAGACAAAATTAATATTGTGAGACAATATTGCAATGTTGCTTGCAAGAGAACATCCAGTTTGACTGTAAAATTACTCAATGGCAACTGTAATTTCTCCATCTGTGTTGTCCCAGTATTGTGAACCTAACATAATGAACAGCACAGGGGGTGGGAGGAGTGAGAGATTTGCAGCATTTGGACTTGGTATTATAACCTGTTGGTGAAATATTCCACTGTCATCACAACACAAAATGACAATTTCCAGAATAAGATACAGACTTTATTCACAGGTTCTTGGAGAACAATATCCTGCTTTATGATATTATTCTTTAAAATGTCTAGGAAGCAGGGTCTGAAATTTAAATATTTTCTCAGTATCCAACTGGGATACCATGCAAGATTCAAAGTTTAGTATCCCCCCTGAGAATCCAGTATCCTATTTCTGGATACTGGTTACCATAAGTATTATACCCTGTCCCATCCAATAACTCTCGCTGTTACAAATTACAATAACAATAGGAGATTCAACAGTCAAGTTGTCAACAACTAGACAATTCATTAATCCACAAAAATGCACATTATATGAGGAAAGGCTTGGGTGGCAAACTCATAGTATTCAAAAGCTATCAGGAGACTGTCAGAGGTGCTTAACATTTTCCTAATGTTTGAAATTTTCTTAGTATCCAGTTGGGATATAAGTCATTCACAGTTTGGTATCCAAAATCAAATTTTAGTATCCCGTGGATATCGGGATACTGCAAATTTTAGACCCTGAGGAAGTGTTGGAAATATTATTATATTAATGTAATATTAATTACAATTAACTTTAAAGTATTAATATAACTGAACAAAGGACAAAATGAATAATCTTTTCTTAAAATAGGAAGTACAATATTTTAACTAGATGCCACTACACTGCACATGAACAGAATATAGCGTTAATAATTAATAAACGGAAATGCACAATTAGACTGGATTTGCTCGTAATTTGATACATTTGGTATTTTGGTAATTAATTAATACAAAACCAAAAAACACTTTCCAGAGAATATTTTTCACATTGAGGAGATGAATTCTAAAGAAATGATGATAGAATAGAATGCTAAACAGATGTAGTAAAGAGTCAGCTAGCCAGTGAAGCGAAATAATGACATGCACGAAACATATTTGGCATTTTGTCTAACCTAAACCAAACGTATTTTAATTTAGCAAAGTTTCAAAATACAATTAACATACTACGTTATAAAATCAGATATTCTACGAATTAAGTATATACATTGGTATAAGAATGTTGCGAATACATTGGTATAAGAAATGTTGCGTATAGTCTAATTCGCACATATTCTGTATGCTAGATTTGCTGGTAAGATAGAAATCAGCAAGCATGAAATCTACAAATAATGTGTGGCATGCAGTATATTTGACAGCATTTAACACATTTAAAAAACACTTACCATATTTCTTTCGTTGTAGTAGACAGTAGATCAGATATAAAATGTCAGTTGTGCGTTGTTCCTCTCTCTGGATCAAAATAACATGAAATGTTGTATATATTGAATGTTGATCTTTCTTTTATGTTTCGATGTTTGACCGCCTATTTAAATATCATTCCTGCACACACACCTGACAACACCTTGAAATCGGGTTTGTTTTGAAGAAGTGCATGCTGGGAATAGGTAACGAGGGAAACGCTTTTATGGAGAAATTCTTGTCATTTTTGGACGTTTTTTTATTATTTTCACAAGGATTTGCATTTATACTTGTAGTAATATAGCTAACATGCTTCAATCTTGCGAGTATGATACCACGCAGCAAAGTTTGCACACATCTCGACATTGTTGACGTAACCTAAAAATTTTGTTGAACTACGGTAAAAGAAGTAGATTTTGTATATTTGAACTACTGAAGCATTTCAGCAGTGTTCAAGAATATCAATATGACATCGCAGAAGGTTTTAATGCTATGAATAAATACGAAGTTCTTGGTATAGTTGGGGAAGGTAAGTGGTTAATAATTATCCAAATTTAATTTGAATTAATAGATGTTAAATAGCAAATCTGAAATCTGTTATATAAATATATAATTGTTTATATTATTTCAGTATAAATACGTAATTACTGAATAATTGTAATTGTTTTATTTTATTAAAGGTGCATATGGTGTTGTTATGAAATGTAGAAATAAGGTATTTAAAAGTTGCTAACATGGTATAGGTCGATTGCAATTAAAAGACAAAACAAGGGCCATGTTAACACTATAAAATACAATGAAAGATAATGAGAAAGATAACTAGTGCCAACATGGCTGCTGTGCCTGTAACATGCAAGCAACCTGTATACCTGTTAAAAAAAACCTAAAGGAACGTAAAAGCCTATATGTCCAGCTGATGGTTAATGCATAAAGCTGTGCCAACATTCATATCATTAACCCATTAAGTGGCAGCACACTCCCCCTGACGAGTAAAATTGTCTGGCATTAGACAGAGTAAAATAACAAAGTAGGGTGCATCTGGGCACATTACCATGTAAAGGGTTAACAGGATGCATGGGCAGATGAAATGATACAGTAAAATGTATGTATACAGTGGAACCTCTGCTAAATAATGTGCACTTTGTACAATATATGGATATACAGTATGAATTAAGACAAAGGCCAGCAATGTGTTCTTGAGACTGCTTGCATTTCTCCAGAGTTCACTTGTGTCCAATGTTTTTCCAGATCTTTATATTTTTTCTGAATCTTAGCTTGCATTGGTCGGTTTGGATGTCTTGTGCAAACTCCAATTACCAAACATGTCATGTGTAATTAGCCTCTGTGAGCTGCAGGTCCTCATTGAAGCAGAAAAGAGTAAAAGACAAACAGAGAATGATGACCTGCACGAAAACCCGGCTTTCATTATTAAACACCCAAATAATGGCTTGTTAAAATTGACCTATTAATCGATATTAAAATTTATGTTCATCCTCTTCCAATCTTAGGCACTGCTATACACATGTAATTTCTTTGTGAAACTGCAATGGAAGGCCAGTCCAATAAAAGATTTAAGACAGGGTTGACCCAATAGAATTTAGAGTAGGGGGCTTTTTGAAAGAAGTAAGCGGCTATGTGGGTGGGAGGATTCAACGCTGTCTTCCCATGAAGATTGTGAAATTTGGACCCATCAATTTTAATTGAAATAACATTTCGAGACATTGTGGAAAGTAGTTTTGGAGATTTTCTCTTATTATCCATATTTAACAAAGAATTATTGGGTTTCAATCACATGATATTTTAACATAATTTGACATGATTTATATGTGTGGTTCGATTTTATAGAAACTGGTTTCTTTTTGGGAGTTTTAGTTTAGTGGTTTCAGGGTCTGAATTTTGCAATATCCTGATATTTTAAAATAAATATTGATACAGAATTATAGATACTATAAATATTTGGTTTTGGATACTAAACTGTGAAAATAATCAGCCTTTGAGTTCCAACTCCTTATTCTGTGGGTCTGGTCATTAACTATTGAGTCTATACTGTTGTTAATTTATAACAATGAGGGACATGTCCTGTATTTGTATACTTACAAATAGATACTACTTTGATGGGCATGCCAAAATTTCTGGTAACCATTATCCAGAAGTTGGTTACTGGATTTTCAGATGGGATACTAGAACCCTTGATTCCTGGTACTGTATCCCAGTGCCCAGTGGGGTACTGAAAAAAAGTTAATTAAATTTCAGACCCTGGGTTTTTCCAAAAAAGCAACTCGGTTTTCAAAAAAAAACATATTCAATTTTTTTGTTTGGTTTTAAATTATTGATTAACCATTTCATTCTAGTGTAAAATTCATCTGAAAGAATTAAATTTGATTTTTTAAGATCGACGTATAGTATAGGGACTTTGTACCAATGACGACAGCCAGAACAAACTCCTTCCAATAACAGCTCTTTTACATTCTTCTCAAGAATCATTTGCAAGCTTACTGCGAGTACTTTCATCCAATCACAATGCTCTGCAGTTTATTTTAATTAGATGTAAGACAGTCAGAAATTTAATATTTTGCATTGAGCGGTGGAAAAGTCTGATTTATTTGAGAAAATTTCTAAACCAATTTGCTGAGTACTATACTACTCTAGAAGACGTACTAATCTTTGGTTTGCTGTTCAGAGACAGAAGCGAGGACGACGTCTGAAACTCTAGAGGGAGTTTTAATTAAATAATATTATGCATTTCTTTTCTGTACACTATCATGCAACTCGTTACCGTCCTGCTAGCTGTAAAGCTCCCTAGTGTGTTTGTGATTTTGCAACCTTGTTTAAAATATTATTTTACTAACCTACGGCTACGATAAATATTCACGTGAAAGTGAAGCGATTGAAAGATCTAATTAATATCTGAAAAAACCTAAAAAGCACTTCGATGTTTTGAAAGAAAGCCCTTCATTTGGAAGTTCTTTCTATATTGTTCAGGTACTAACATCCCTCAACCGAGCTCGTAAATATTGTTCATCCCTACACTGTTAATTTCGGGGAGTTAATTTAACTCCGCTGGAGTTATACTGTACCTCAATTAACTCCAAATGTGGAGTAAAATTAGGTTCAGAATAATACCACTGGAGTTAAATTAACTCCTTGAAAATTACAGTGTACCCACACTAAAAGCCAACACTCCAGATATTACCAATGATAAGCACATGAAGAATGAAATAAATGTTGTATTTAGGAAACAAATGAAGTGGTTGCCATTAAGAAGTTCAAAGACAGTGAAGGTAATGATAATGACTGCAATTTTTAATCTCATATTTTGATCATTAATTTGTTCGCAATGATCAACAACATTTGACAGCTAAAGTTAAGGGGGACGGTTGTTCAAAGTCAGATTAGCGCTGACCATGGGTTATTAAAATTATGATCCGGACAAGATTTCTGAAAAAAAATTTCAAGCTTATAAAAATGCTGCTGGAAGACTATAATGCTTTGAATTTCACGTTAACTCAGGGTTAAGCTAGCCAGCTTTTGAACAACCGGCGCAAAAAAGTAAATTACATGAACATGAACATGAACACGCCCCAAAACATGCTAATTACGTTGCATTTGCCTTTTTGGTATACTTTGTTCAAATGTGTGCGTCTTCACTCTTCAAAACTTCAACTGTAGGATTCCAGCGTCCGCTGCGCTGTACGTTCGTACATACGTCCAACGTGAATACGTCTAAAGGCTCGTTACTTTACACTTGCAATTTTTGCTGCGATTTGTGATGCGATTTTCTTAATTGTCTAATGCATGTGAACGAGTAGATGAGTTGTGAATGTTCTGAGTATATGCATCCTCATCTCAACATTCATAATTCATTCACATCCATCAGAAGACGAAAATCGCACTTAATATCACAGCAAAAAGTACAAGTGTTGGACACTGGCCTTGAAGTCTATAAAAAAGGAAAACGCACGTTTCGACGAAACGTCCTTCTTTTGGAGATGATCAGAAGTTTATATTTTTATACAAGTTTGAATTTTAACTTAACTACATAACTTTTCGGAGAAGATCCGAGATGGTTTTAAGTTACTGTGTAATAATATTAATTGTTTATACGTAATAATTAGATAATTTTAAGTAATCGTCTGTTATTAATCTAGACAATGCTGATGTAAAAAGAACAACGATGAGAGAACTTCGAGTTTTGAAAATGTTGAAACAAGAAAATATTGTTCAGCTTAGGTGAGTTATTTTAGTGTTGCCAACTACGTGTATCTACGTCTGCTCAACCTTCCGTGAAAATGCCTAAAAAGTGGTGGTACTACAGATATGCATCCCACCATAAAATTTAAGAACGATCAACTTTAAAAAGTTCACTACAGTACAGATCCAGTGGATAGCGCTATCCTGCATGCCTTCATATAATCGATCACAAGTCCAAAGACACTGCTTCCTACCTTGATGATGTTGCTTGTTGCACATCGCTTCGCATTCTCAATGATGTTCAACATGTGCTAGAGCCAACGTACTGTACATTTACGTATATAATTTTATAATATAAGACGGATTGAATTCAAAGTCAAATTTCTAGTTAATACTGTTGCATTAAACCCAGCTGCGAACGTTGTCATTCGTTAAATTGATCCACTGTCTTAAAATTTGAAATGGTTTAAAATTACTATATATTCCTGTTCAGAAAAGGCGAGGGTTGCTGCATGTATACATGTATTTCTAGTATGTATAATTAATTGTGTATTTTTGTTTGTAGAGAAGCGTTTAAAAGAAGAGGGAAACTATATCTGGTTTTTGAATACGTTGAAAAGGTAAACTGTATTATATTAAATACAGATCAACCAGATCGAGGGAGCCTGTGGCTGCAGAGTGGCGGACACTTTTTGAAATACAGGGGCTCATGCCTGATCACGGAGCACAGCTAGGATGGAAGGGTTGGTCTGGGATTTATCCCAACTCACCCTGTCAACACTCCTGGTGCGAAGAAACCTGGAGTACCCGAAGAAAACCTTCACCATACAGTTTATGCCTGGTACATAACTTACTTCGCTACCGGAGGCATATGGCAGTCTCCGAGTGCCATCTATAGACCCATTGCACATGACGTCACAGCGCCGGTGACGATGCATCTGGA